GTCCCTCGGTCCGCGTGAAAAGATGTTCAGAAGTGAAACAAAGCCGTTTTGCCTTAGAGAAGAGGATGAAAGTGTATGCAACTGCTGCGTTGTCTTCCAGTAGAGGTGAGCATTTACAAAGTCAGACTGTGCCTGGCATTGTTTCTCTGCTGCTTCTAGCATGTCTAGTAGAACGGATGAATTTGCGTCATTAGCCTCGTTATGTCGAGTCTTGTCATCCTGCTGGTCTTCCCTGATATCATCTGGGATTATAGGTGAAGTGAGTGTATGTGCCCTGTATGGATTTCTAGATTGTGCCTCCAGTCCGCGGGAGCTTTTCTTTCTATAAAGGCGATTCGCTTTCCGACCTTCTAAGATGTTTGCTCTGTTACTGAATGTTCTTGAATCGTTTGTATCGTCAATTGATCGGGGTATTTCATATTCGCCGACGAGTTTCAAAATCGAATCACGTAATTGATGATAGTCTTTGTCAAGGTCTGGTCTGGATCGTTGGGTGTCCGCATCGCTATCACTGCTCGACGTCTCTTCTTCATCTTCCACCTCGTCTTCGTCATGGAGCATCTGGGTGGATAAATGTGTTCCATCTAATTCCATGAATAGAACGGTCCATTGTTCAGCGCAAGGGTGACATGATCCGGATACGATGTCCTGTCCCAAAGTATGTGACATCTCTCTGATTGCCTGTCTAAGGTGGTACCCTTCATCGTCAAATTTCGGACCCTGGCTCATAGATGAGATAGAGGTGGACGAGAATCGGTGAGTGGCAATTGAGTTGTCATCAAGGAGAGGTTCTCGAGACGTTACGTCGCTGAAGATGGACGACTCACTCTCACTTACTATGGATGCTGTATCAAATCCCCGGGAAGTGGGAGCCATGGAAGGTGGCCTTGATATCACGGAGAATCCAGAGATGGATGATGCCGCAGAAGGGAACCCGCCAAAATGAGACTCGCTAGCCGCGGATCCAGAAGTGGGACGCCGCTCGGGGAATAAGGCATTTACCATAGTTACCAGATCAGAGGGGCTTATGACAAGATAAGGGCGAACCTCGGCAGTTTCTCTGAGTGAAGTGATTGACCTGGCAGGGAGCAACTTGGGGTTTGACCTGTAAACCTTTGATGTTCGGAAACGGCCCATGATATTTTCGATGTGAACTTTGATGTCAGGCGGAGTGGCTGGTGATTGTTTCCTGAGCAGATGTTAATTTCCTTGCGACTATATACGAATGCAGGGGATTTACCATGTAAGGTCAACAACTAGTCTTCCGGCCCTCAAAGCCACTTCCTTTAGAATCCTCTGTCTTGCATATTCGGAGATATGGTATTCTGTCATCATCCCATGTGACTGCAGAACCGTTAGCTAAAACATACCGATAGATGGCTCCATGGAAAATACCTCGGGGTGAACAATAGCGTTAAGGAGAAAATCAAGAAACAGCCATTTGGACACGAGAAACCTCTTTGTGGCTCCGTGTTTTCTGGGATCCAGTTTCCGAAGGATTGCGTTACCTAGTTCAAGAACGCTCTCTGGGATCCCTTCAGCACCTGGGTCATCCACAATCTCAAAGAGTCCCTTAATGGCAGAATCAAAAAATTCCTCGGCAGCAATGGAGTCCTTGACATTCCTTGGTTCTCCATGGGCCCGGATACCAGATTGTCCCTCTGATTTCTCCACTATAAAGGCCCCGTCTTCTAGGGTTTTCATGAGATACCACTCTAGATTGCTGCGGCCGGACCATTCTCTCATGGCAGTCCAAATGTTTAAAACGCTGCATATGAACGGGTCGATGGCGATTTTATTTTCGGTGCTGATCAGTCTAGCACACACCATGGCCCATATCTCGGTTCGTCTCAGGTGCTCCGAGGAATCAGGGCCCGCCGAATTTGCAAAGCAAGTATGAATAAGAGCAGACAAGGGGTCATGACGCTGGAAAGAGAGTAGACGCTCAACTGGAGAAGGGGAATGTGCAGAAGGCCGATTCAGGCTTGCAGCCTGTCCTCGAGGACGTGTGTGGAATGGCAGAACGGAATCGACGGGCTCCAATCCTTGGTGAAATACAGTCAATGCCGTCAGCTCAGACGGCGTTAGAGCGCATATGCGGGTAGCCAGGTATTCAGGATTCGTTCGAATTTGAGTCAAAAAGTTGAGTAACGTATCACGGGTCTGAGTGGGAATCTCATGCATGAAAGTCCAGTAGGTTCCCGGCTCGTCTGGGCGACCATGGCCTGGTTGTCCAATATCCGGGTCCGGTTCCAACGCAGCAAATCTCCTGGTGGCATCGCAAGAATTGCTAACGTCATGTATTGCATTGTTAAGTGTGGCAAAGGTCTTTTTATCATCCGAGCGAAAGCTGTCGACCAGAGTCCGGTGGGCGAGTTCTCCGCAACGTGCCAGACGGGCGGAGAGGGCAGTGGACACCAATGATCTTTGTAGCCGGACGCGGGTTTGTCGGCGTTTTCGCTCTTGGTATGTAGAAAGCCTGACTAGGTGAGCAAGCTCTTCAAGTGTGGTAGAGTTAGCCTCTATAGCTGCATCTCGCATATCAATAGTCGTATATTGGGACACGTCTTCGAGCAGCGGCTTATGGAGTGTCGGAGGTGGCGATTTCGAAGTTTCTGAACTAGGAGTCTTGGTGGCATCTTCCTGTGCATTAGTATCACGTATCCCATGATCGGCAGGCTTTAAAAAGGATGCATATGGGCTCTGCCTTTCGGGCGCGTGTCGCGGGTTCGAAGATGGGGGCCGTGATGTTTGATTGACTGCATTCTTAGAATTAAACAAAGGTTCGCTTGTCGGTAGGGCTAGTAAAAGATTCATTAGCTCGCTGCTCTCCTTCCGTTGACCATTCCGGTCCTCCAGTACATACAGGGAGAAGCGTGAGCTGGCCCAGGAAGGGAGGTGGACCGCTGCATTTGGATCATCACTCCATCTGCGTGTTTTCTGGTCTAAGTCTCGAGCTTTCTCAGCTGCGAGACACCAGAAAGGGTAGGTAAAGGCAGGTAAATATATTTGTCGAGCGTGAAGTGAATCCAACCAGTGGTCGAGTTGACTGTGAGGCTGCTCAGCCTTCTCGTTGTCGTCGCTGGCACACGTCGGGGGTCAACAGCGGGGCGAATTCCAGCACCGATAAACCAATTGATAAGAGCTCCTCGTCGCCGTCCAAGTCATGTTATATTAATACACCCAGGGTCCGGTCGCGCAGCAATTTCGAACAAGGCTCAGCAAAATACGAGAAGAAGAAATATATCTCAAGGTTCGAGATGGTAATATATAGCAGCGCAACGCAACAGCGGAGCTAACATGGTGCAGAGCCAGCACAACTGCCAGCCGGACTCTGCAGATCACCCACAGTGGTGAGGAACTGGGCGTGGTGGCTCATGCTGGCCCACGTTGCCAGCATATCATCCCTCCCCAGAATATAAAGGGCCAATCAACATACGCCATGCGCCAGACATCGATGTGATGCACAGGCCACGATAACCAGGATTTCTTTGGCGACAGCGGCGGCCAATACATATTGAATATGGATTGACAATACGAAGTTGACTTTTACCAGCCTTTCCAGGCTTTACCAGCCTTTACCAGCCTTTACCAGCCTTTGCCAGGCTTTACCAGGCTTTACCAGGCTTTACCAGCCTTTACCAGCCTTTACCAGGCTTTACCAGGCTTTACCAGCCTTTACCAGCCTTTACCAGCCTTTGGATCTCTTTTCAGCCTGCGACAGATGCAAAATCTGACGAGGGTACCTACCTACCACCTGCCCTTACCATCAAGGGGGATGGAATACAAATTGCTTTGCTGGAACATGCAGATATGCGGAAAGACAACGCTGGTGAGCAGCCAGACAGGAACAACGATGCTCGTACTGGCCATCTACAGGAGTGGCAATATTTACTTTGCCAGCTCATACCCAGCTCATATGTCGTTTCCTATGAACCTGTTGCCTTATCAAGCATTCAAGTGCTACCTCTACCTGTGCTATACGGAGGCAAAATGCAGGAGTACCAGTCACATCCCATAGTATGCACCGTTGTTGTTCATACCTCCCAGTCACATCCCATAGTATGCACCGCTGTTGTTCATACAGCCCAGTCACATCCCATAGTATGCACCGCTGTTGTTCATCTTACTACAGGCGTCCTGTAGCATCTTCAGCTTTGTGCAAACAGCACCAGAAGCTGATTCAAACCGTTCTGCGACATCAAGACCAACCCGATCGCAGTGCGCCCTCTGTACTTCTGGCGGCAAACACGAAGTAACCACCACATCACGAGATACGTGCCACAAATATCATCTCATCCTCCCTCCCTGACCCAGCACTTGCTCGCTCGCTGCCCTTGTCATAGATGCGCTGGCCGCCAAAAGGGCCGCATAAGCATGGGCACAGTCAACGTCCAAGGTGTCAGATTCCCCTCCACAGACCATCATCTATTTTGACCAGAGAATAGTCGGAGAGTCAGGGAGGCACATAAAAAATAGCCGAAGAGAAATGCCAACGCATACTCGCCTGCATATGAGACTAATGCAGACGCAACACCACCTCACCCGTCGTTTCCTACGCCGACCCCCCGCTAGACTGGCCAACAGCTTTATTCCATTGGGTACTCAAAGTTGGAGAGAAGGGATCATCATTTATTCTAGAGCATGTGACATGAGAACCTCCACTTCGCTATCCGTAGTTGTGCCACTAAAAAGTCTAAAGATGGACTATGTATATCAATACTAACCATTGAAAGTAATAGAATGTGTATCGTTCTGTTCATTTATATGTGACTGGCCTAACGCTATATACAGTGCTCTACTCTAATCCATGGTCCCTCCTCACACTTTTTAGGTGGCACCAGTAATCCATTGAAACAATTGAAACATGAGGCTCCAAATCCGTCAGGGTAGTTATAGCACACAACCAACCAATCCTATTTCCCAGACCCTAAAACCCTTGTCCCTTAATTCTCACATCCGGGGTATGCGCCTTGCGGCATCAGTCGTGTAACATCTCTCTATTCTCGTCCAAACCTTACGTCGAAATACTTGATAACACTCATTACACTCGCTGCATCGATATCTGTCGCCTCGCGTCCGGGATACCGCGGCGGGGCAGTTGCTAATTTTGGCAGCCATTTACTAATCTCATCGCTCGCAGCCTCGAAGTTGCGGTGGCTAGCGAGTGTCTTATAGGTCTCTGCACAAGAGAGAGCTGGGCCGGGAAGCACCGGTCTAGCCTTGCGAGGTTCTGGCCATGGTGGTGGTTGAGATGGTGTGTCTTTACAACATCCACCAGGACCGCCTTGGCCACAGCAGCCAGAGAACGATGGGTTGGTGGCACGAATTGCGGCCAGAGAGCGGCAGAAGAGCCCGGATTTTGGGTCATCTTGGCACTGTTGACAAGTACCAGGTCCGTTTGCACATGAATTAGAAGGATTGCTTGAAGATTTAGGCGGTGGTTCCAAAGATGATTGGATATGGTTTGGATAGAGCGAGGGTAGCTTGTAAGACTCCATAGCGTTGATATCGCTGTCTGAAGGTGGCGGGGTAACTTCGCTCATTAGGGGTGGAAGGCGGTTCTCGTGCCCTAGCTCGCGGGCCGCGACTTCGGCAGCTTCGGCACATGCACAGTATGTGCTATCGTCACAGAAGCCACATGACTCTCCCGGTGGTGGGCGGGATGCTGTGCTGGCTGTTCCATAGTCTCGAGGTGGTGGCTCTGGAGCGTAGATGGGTTTGCTAGAGAACATGGCGGTGAAATCAATCTCTTGTGGAGTGTTATCTTCAATAGATAGTCGTGTCCGTTTGCTGTTTGTGTAAGGCGACGAGTCGCGCGATCGCTTCACCTCAACCTCCATCGCACTGTCGGCGCTATTGGGGCCTTTCAATGTTTCCTCCAAACATTCGCAATGACTATCAATAGAACATCGTCCACATGTTGACGTAGCCATTACCATGACCTTCTCAACACAGGCACATCCACTGGTAGATGTGCAGTTACCACATCCAATAGGATCTGCATTCGCTGCTGGAGCTGGGTTTTGAAGTTGAGCTGACTCTGGTTTGAGATGAGACCTGTTTCGTCTCGGGGGTAGAACAACGGCATCTGTTCCAATTGCTCGTGCTCCCTTCCGTAAATAAATTAACTCGTTATTTAGAGCTGCCTTTTCTGCCCGCTCCGCTTCTAGCAGATCTTCTGCTCTGTGGTATTTCTGCTTCCACTCAATAACTTCATTGAGCACCCTTTGCATGTCTGCTTCTAGCTTCGAAACATGACTTCTAGCGTCGTCCAGCTCGGCCTTCGTTTGTGCGTCTCGCTTGAGCCTTTCTTCCTCCGTCTCCTTCAGTTGTTCCTCGAGTTCACCGACTCTTGCCGCCCTCCTCTCTCTAAAAGCTCGTTGTGCAGCTCGGTTCTGCGCCTTCCGCTTCGTTGGTGGGGTATCTGTCGCGGGCTTCCTTCCCGGCTTTGGTCGTGGGGGTATGACCCATTCTCTTCTAGGTCCCAACGGCACAGGGCTATCACAGCTGTTCATAGGACTTCCCATTGCATTGGATGCCAGAGAGACAGGTTTGATCGCAAGAGTTGGCGGAGCAGGCGCCAGGTTTGCTGTCGAGCTGGTTGACGACGGGGTGCTCATTGTGGAGTAAGGTGAAGCCATTTTCTTGTTACAATCTAGTTCTCTGTGTTGCTTGTCATCCACAGTAGTTACCTGCAGCTATAGACTGCAGGAGTGCGGTGAGGTTGATATAAGGACGATGACTGTGTACGAACGTGCCACGAATGAGTGGGAGAGGCGGCCTTTATCGGATCAGATTAGATGTGATGATCTGATAAAAACACTTCACACCCCTGCATCGCTAAGTTAGGGCCAATAGAAACGAGCGCTTGTGGGCCTTGTCACCGTTTTAGCGTTGCCAATGCCTTCATCGGAATCTTGAGGGAGGACGACACGTGATTCTCATCAAAACACATGTACCAAAACCAATATACCAGTTCGAGATACTCAAAGCCCGGGAAGGAGGGAATTTGGGAGATAAACCGGAAACCATGAATGGCTTTTACTTTGGGGGTGACTCTGCAAGCGCCTCATCCGCAGACGACGAGGACAATCTACCATACCCAGAAGCTCTCCCGAGGAGTGACTTCTTGGTTCCCAACTTTGATGCATCCGACTACCTCTCCACCCTTGCAGACCGCCATCAAACCCTGGAGGACTTACGTACAGATCTGAGAGAGCGTTCCCAAGCATTGTCCAAAGAGCTCCTCGACCTCGTCAATGTTAACTACGAGCAATTTCTAAGTCTTGGCTCGGACCTTCGTGGTGGAGAGGAGAAGGTTGAGGATGTGCGTGTGGGCCTCCTAGGTCTCAAGAGAGGATTTGAAGAAGTGAGGGGCAAGATAAAGGCTAAGGGCCAAGATGTTGATGGCCTGCTCAGCGAGAAGTCACAGATCAACTGGGAGATCAGTACGGCAAGAACTATGCTGGAGCTCGATGCCACGTTAGAAGAACTGGAGGAGAATCTGATGATGGGCTCTGTGGATAGACAGACTCGAGACGAGGTTTGGAGTGATAGCGAGGATGATGAGGATGAGGGTGGGCTCACCCTTGATATGGCCACAGGAGGCGCCAGCATCAGAAAGTTGCAGCGTCTTGTAAGAGATTACTGCCACGTCGTTCGTATGGCTCGAGCGGCTGGCCACGAAAATGCATTCGTTGCTACACAGCAGCAGCGGATAGGGAGAGTTAGGGGTGTCCTTCTTCTGGATCTTAATACGGCCCTAAAAGAAGCCAATGGGTCTGACGATTCTTCTCGAGCACGCCTGGTGAAAGTGATGGGCATTTATAGGGAGATGGATGAAGCTGCGGAGGCTGTGAAAGTACTGAATGGTTCCGAGTTCAGAAGAAAGCAACAGTTTGGGGACACATAGCTCAGGCGTTTGAATTCTATACCCGGGGAAGGCAATGTGAATATTGTACTGTACAACTAAAAATACAAGCTATTGCTCTATAATACTGTCAGATCCTTTGGACTGATTGTTGACGTCGGGCTTCTGAAATCGCCACTCAGAGTCATGCCCGGTCCATTTGTCGAGCTCAATACGACCTCTGCAATCTCCTTGTTGACCTTCTCGCTCAGTTGTGCCATGTCCTTCTTCACCGACTCCACGAAAACCTTGATGTTATCTTGCATCATTTCCGGTGTGAACCCCAACTGCCCAATTGCCATGCGTACCACCCCCAAACGTTCTCTGTACTCTGCGCCTCCAACCATTTCCCTAACAGCAGCAGCTGGGTCCTTCACCACAGTGCCGGTTTTTGAGCTGGGCATCAGACCCCTGGGTCCGAGGATTCTTCCCAACGCAGCCTTATTCATCTTTTGCAACGAATCAATCTGCGCTATGCAGCGATCAAATTCGATCTTCCCATCTTTTATCGCTTCGAAGATCTCCTCCTCGCCAACAAGTGATGCTCCTGCTGCTCGGGCAGCTTCCGCGTATTTCGAATCTGGCGGACAGATGACACAGATTCGCACGTCTGTCTTCACGGGATGAGGGAGGCGTAGTCTATTGCGCATAACAGGCCCGTTCTTGAGTGACTTGACTTTCAGAGCCACTTCGTATTTTACTTGTGTTGCCGGCCTCCCGACTTCTGCGGCCCTAATATAGCTAAAATGGCGTTAGCCCAGAATGTTAAAAGTCGTGGGAAACCACACATACCGCATGGCATCGCAAAGCGCAAATTGGTCGGCATCATTAAGGTTGTACTGAATGTAGGCAGTCCTTGGCTTTCTCTTCTTTTTCTCCGCTGCCTTCTGGGCTTTCTTTTTCTCGGTGTACTTGTTCGGGCCGGCTGCCTTTTTGGCAGCAAAGCGTTGCTGGATAGAGTTGTGTATGAGGGCTGCAGGGCGGTATACCATGGGCCTGGGAGCCGAAGATATACAGAGCCTATTTAATTGGGCCAAGGGTGGCCTTGTTGACGCCATCTTGTTGTAGTTGTATATTTTGTTCCTGGCCCCTTCAAGTCCGTGCTTGATGGTCAAAACAAATATCGCTATTACGTCGGAGATATGAAACTCCGTTCCGAAGGTACTAGCTTCAAAATGGCCAACTCCCACAGATTATTGCGGGCAGGTAAATACAACCCCGCCACTAACGTGAATCACGAACTGTGTTGGACCAGAATAAAGATGAACAGCGACGAGGTTGCAACTCTTGTGTCTGCGCTCTCAGTGCCAGATTACAAAGCGGTTGAGCCACATTTGCTCAAACTAGACAAATATCTCACGCTCAGAACTTACTTCGACGGGTATCGCATCAGTGATGCTGATGTCAAGCTATGGGTAACCCTACGAAGCAACAAGGTCACAAACGCATTCTTGAAGAAGGGATCTCTCGCAAATCTCACCCGCTGGTTTGTATTTGTTGAGGAGTCTCACCCAGAAATCCAATCAGAGATTAAAGTTGCAGACGATGCCGTGAAAGCAAAGAAAGCTGCTCTCAGCAAGGCCGGCGCAAGCTATAACATTGCGCTTCAAAATGCCGACCAGGGTGTTGTCACTAGATTCCCTCCTGAGCCATCGTAAGACCCATTTCAATGTGCGTGGTAATACCCCTAACAGCTAGCAGTGGATATCTCCATATTGGACACGCAAAGGCTGCCCTTCTGAACGATTATTTTGCCCATGACCTGTACAAGGGAACCCTACTTCTACGCTTCGATGATACCAACCCTTCGAAAGAGAAGCAAGAGTTCGAGGATTCGATCATCGAGGACCTTGCTCTTATGGGTATTAAACCAGACAAGACCAGCTACACCAGCGATTATCTTCAGGTCTTGTACGAACATACCATCCGATTAATTACCGAGGGGCACGCATACGCGGATGACACCGAGCAGGAGAAAATGCGCGATGAGAGATGGAAGGGCATTGCCAGCGAACGCCGTGAAAGGACGGTTGAAGAGAACCTTCGCATTTTCGAAGAAATGAAGGTTGCTTCAGAGGAAGGCCAGAAGAACTGCATCAGAGCAAAGATGTCTGTTGACAACCCAAACAAGGCCATGCGCGATCCTGTTATCTACCGCTGCAACCTTCTTCCTCACCACAGAACCGGAACGACATGGAAGATGTACCCTACATATGATTTGGCGGTTCCCATCGTCGATGCCTTGGAGGGTGTTACGCATGCCCTGAGAACCACTGAGTACGCTGATCGTAATGATCAGTACCAGTGGTTTATTGATATTCTGGGTCTGCGTCAAGTACACATCTGGGATTTCGCAAGAATGAACTTCATCCGAACCTTCCTCTCAAAGCGAAAGCTCACGAAACTTATTGATACCGGCAAAGTCTGGGGTTGGGATGACCCGCGTATGCCCACTATCCGTGGTGTTAGACGCAGAGGCATGACCATTCCGGCCCTGCGTGATTTCATCTTGAAGCAAGGGCCGAGCAGAAATATCGTCAACATGGACTGGACCAACTTTTGGGCCACCAACAAAAAGGTCATTGATGCCGTCGCGCCAAGATTTACTGCCATTGATAAGCAGGACAATGTTCGGGCGACCATCATTGGTGGGCCGGACAAGCCCTACACTGAGGAGAAGCCAAAGCACAACAAGAACCCTGAGGTTGGCACGAAGAAGGTCACCTTCAGCAGTGTCCTTATTCTTGAGCAGGCTGATGTCAAGCTCATGAAGGAGGGCGAAGAGATTACGCTCATGGCCTGGGGTAACGCGATTGTCCGCAAGATTGTTGGCTCAGACCCGATCACTTCGGTTGAGCTTGAACTCCACCTTGAGGGTGATGTTAAGAAGACAGAGAAGAAGGTGACATGGGCATCTTTCGTGGGCCAGACTTTGATCCCAGTGGAGCTGGTTGACTTTGACTACCTGATCACGAAAGACAAACTCGAGGAGGACGATGAGATGGAGAAGTTCCTTACCCCTGTCACCGAGTTTAGATCCGCGGCTCTTTGCGATCAAAATGTGCAGGATCTGAAGGTCGACGATATCATCCAGTTCGAGCGCAAGGGTTATTACAGAGTCGACAAGGCCTACAAGGATGGTGAGTCGGCTGTGTTGTTCAACATACCCACAGGCAAGGAAGGAAAGAAATAGTCTGCTTTCCAGACGTTATCTTATTCGTTTCTGTAGTTCTCGGTATGTTAAAAAGATGAACTAGCCAGGCAAAGCATAAATGATCGAGATGACCACTTTGAAGTCCTTGTCGTGCATGAGCAATCATATGTAGATTCTTAATTTCCGCATCAATATTTCGCAACGTGGTATCCCAAACGCCATATATCTATCGTATTCTCCTTTATAACAGTCCTTTCCTTGCCAACTCGACTTTCCGCGCAGCCTCATTCGCCTTGAAGCCGCCCTTCGACACGCAAATTGCTGATCCATCGCCCAACTCAAATTTATCCTCTACAGCCGGGAATTGACATGGGCAGTGGTGGGGAACGGACACACATGCTATAGACATTATTAGTCGTCGGTATGAGCAGAGGTATTGTAAAGCTTACAAAGTGTCCCTGGACAGAGGTAATTGCTGCAATGGGCTATGGAATATTAGCATTATGCCCCTCCATACACAGGGTCTGAAAAAGAAATACCATTGCTGTATGTTTGTTGATACCAAGCTGAGTCGCTAGGAACATTCTGTGGAGCTTGATGATGCTGTCGTTGCTGTTGACCACCCATAAACTGCTCAAACATATTTCCAAACTGTGCATTGACGGTCGCCGCCAGGGCACCGACAAGCAGAACGCTTGTAAGAGTTACTCTTCCAAACATTCTGAAGTTGAGTTACTGAATGTATTCTTGGTAAATTCAGTAACCAAAATATATCACCTCGCCTTCAGGACAAGTTGTCTCGGGATGGTACACTTGATGACTAATCAGTCGGGGACCGCCTCAAATTATTCATTGACACCCATCTCCAAGCGCAGCGAAATAGGTAGATACCACCACCGCACGGCAAGATGCTGATACAACGGCTACAGCCGCCGCTGAGGGCGTCGTTAACTTCAATTGTTCGACCAGGAGCTTCGAATTCGCACACGGGACTGAATGAGGCATTCGCTGCGCTCAGGTTGTGCCAAAAGGAAACTCAGGCCGGAAACTTGAACTTCGTCCGATATGCTACGCATAAGGCGCAAGGAGCAGTGAACAAGGCGAAGGATGGTCCGGGAAAGAGGCTGGGTTGCAAGAAGTCTGGAGGTTCGTTTGCTCTTTGCATGTCGGGTGTCCAATGTCGCATGACAGGATCGCTCAGGGCATACCATTTGGACAAGACGGCAGGCTGACACAGAACAGAACAATATGTTATCCCAGGCAACATTATCTTCCGTCAACGAGGCACGCACTGGTTTCCCGGTGACAACTGTGCCATGGGCCGCGACCACACCATCTACGCGACCGAATCCGGCTACGTGAAGTATTACAAAGATCCCGAAAGGCACCCCAAGAGGCAATACATCGGCGTAGTCTTCGAGCGAAACCAAGTCCTTCCCCTACCGAGAAACTCGATGCGCAGACGGAGATTAGGCCTTGTTGCAAGCCAGATGGAATTCTCGACCGTTGCCGAGAGCCCAGAGGTTGTGCAAGAGTCGGCCGAACTGCAGACGGGGGAGGGCGCCGTGCAGAGCCAGGTGTCGGCGCCAGCGCCGGTAAAGAAGGTCCGTGAGAGGAAGGGAGAGGAGGGCAGGGTTTTGACGCTGAGACCGGGATACATGTACCGCGAGGCCAATTGGGAGATTGGTCGTGCGGCCGAGCGTGCGAAGATCCAAGTCAGAGAGTTCAAGCCCGGGGATAGATGGACGGCATGGAAGAAGGCTACAATTCGAAAGGCGGCGAATGCCGGGAAGAGGGGCTTAAGAGGGAATAATAAGAGGAAGAAATAGAGAACTTGTTGGGTGTGTGAACGTCAGAGCAGTGGGTGGCAGAGGCATGGCCTTTAGTGCAGATCATAGGAGTTGTACGATTCGCCTGGTGGAATGGCGCTGTAGAATATGGATGTCGATGGTTTATGTAAAGATATTTAGAACTCATTTGCAAATATTCCAACAACGGTAGGAACACCGATTTGTTAGATCCGTCCAGAATCAGGTAGTGGTTTTGTGAAGCGTCGTGCACTGATGGAATATGTTCTATCAATAATATTCCCATTCCCTTCAAGCGTTGCTCGTCACTTAGCCCATCCACGGCTCGGCCGGTCCATCGATCGTTAATCATCACTACTCAACTCCATCAAACTGTCCACTTTTACCCCCCTACTGCTTCTCCTCCCTTTACCCCTCATGGCGCTTCTATACCTCTCCTCACCCTTTCCCATCTCCCTGACTTTAGCCTCCCGTTTCCTCTCTTCTAGCTCCCTTTCCCAGGCTTCGTCATCAACTTCCCCAAGTATATCGCCCATACCTCCTTCCGCAGTCTCTTCCAAGGCCCGATTCAGCAATTCCGTTGCAATTGAATCTTGCGGACTAATCCCAAGTGCCTCATGGAGTACTCCTACTGCTTCGAACGCTTTTCCTTGTTCCATCAACACCAAGCCCTTCGCACAGAAGACTTGCGGGTCCTTTCCGCCCATTCGAAGTACCTCTTCGAAGGACTCCAAGGCTTCGTCCCAGCGACCCAGACGGCGATATGCATGACCCAGGTTTGCTTGAGTTGAGATCCAGGCAGATGGCTCGCTGTCAATTTCCACAGCGATCGTTAAAGCTGTCTTAAACATCGTCACCGCATTATCGAGGTGATCTTGATGATAAAATACAACCCCCATCTCGTTCAGTAGTAAAGGATCCGTCTTGCACAGTCCATACGCCGTCTTCAAAAACTCGTCCGCCAGCGTCATATTATTAAGAAGCAAGTTCTGCATGCCCAAGAACAGCTGTGGCAAGTGCGTGCCCATGAATAATCTTGCGGCAGTGCTGTAGGCAGAAATAGCTTGGTCATGCTCGCCTTCTGCTGCAAAGGTGTGCGCGAATCCAATCCATGCAGGGCCAAAGTGCGGGTCCATCATGGACGCTTTTGAGAAGTACCGCCGTGCTTCGGCGATTTTAGACGTGGCAAGGTAATAGATGCCTACAGCAAGCCAGGTGCATGGTTCATCGGGATGGTTGTCAGCCAGATCGTGGGAGACGAGAAACAATGCGTTCTTCTCATTTAGCTCGTACAAGCAGGCGAGGTGCAGTGGATAAATGGCGAAGTTGTACTTGTCCCCTTGGATTATAGAGGACGTGATGCGAAGGGCTTCTTTGAAACGACATTGGGTGAATAGAAGGTCGGCTTTGGAGAGAAGGAGGTCGGGGTTTGATGCTAAGTTGTAGTGTGTGGAGAGTGTTTCGGTGGCTGTAGTGAATGCGACGGGATTTTTGTATTTGGAGAGGCGTGTTGTGTACAGCATCTTGGTGAACTCAGCTGCTTCCTGTGAGGATGGGTCATCTGCGGATATGGCATCAAAATCGAGAGACTCCAAAAACTGCCACTCTTCATCTGGCGACATGAGGCAGTTCTTCATCAGCTGCTCGAATGCTTCAAAGCATTGTACATCAATACCAACAGCATCTTTGTAGCACTCCTTTGCCCTATCAAAGGCGTTTTGTTTAGCATAACAAAGGCCCCTCAGAAAGCACATTGCCGCCTCAAATCGTATGTTTGCATCCTCTTCTTGAGCTGCTTCGTCTCGCTTACTTGATTTCGATGTCTTGCTGTGTACTGAGTTGGTCCTGGTATGTCCACCAGTATGTTGCATCTTCCGCCTGTTGTTGCCCGCCGTCCCTATTAAATGTGTAGGGTTATTCTCTCCCAGTATATTTAAAGCTTCCTCAAATCTTCCTTGCTTTATGAGACAGTGGCCAGCTAGATATCGGCATGATGGGTTCCTCGACACCAAGTCTTGCTTCGCCAGGAAGCTTTGGGCGCGGGTATAATTTCCGGTGGAGAAGTGGACTTGGGCAAGCCAGAACGCATCTTTGTCATTGTCTGTCAAGTACGGATATATCAGTAAAATTGTCAGGAGCAATAGCCTGAGGGGTCATACTCGTTAAGGCCAGCAGTTTGTCTCCAATGAAGATGGCCGAGTCGTACTGATGTTTATTCAACGCATCCTGACGCCAATCCCGCAAGAATTTCTCCATTCTTCGTATTCAATTCATACAGCTTGGCTCATAAACTATCAATAGAGTCAAAGGGCAAGGTTGTCATGATGTTGAAGTTTATTCATGCGTGGGAAGGCAGTCGCGTTGTCGATTCTCGAGCGCAAATAAGGCGGCCCTGGCTTATCGCACTTATCGCCTCGATGAACTTCAGCCTTGTCCATCAGAAATACACTTCACATACTCGTGCCGCCCAAAAGACTGAAGAGCAACTATACATGACAGGAGTGATTACAGCGATTATAACTAAAATATAGTCTCTCAACTACCGAAGACTATAATTGGCATATTAGTCACTCGGAGATAGAGTCAAGATATACTCCGGAACAATCAACGATAAAATATAGATGCATAAGATTTGGAAACTTATATTAAATTCAAGTATTTTAATAGCAACTATTTATTTGTCCCAATTTGAGACAGAAGTGAGAACTGCACAATCTGACCATGGGATGCGCCCCATACAAAATCAACCTTGAAACTCCGTAAATCAATATGTTCTGTGACGCTTCCCGCCTCCAGGTGAATGCCGTCTTCGAACTCCATCTAACCAACCCAGCGTCTTGCGCTCTTGAACATTCGGACCCAAGGACCATACTCGCCCCACTCTTCTGTCATGCCATCGGGGATATAGCTTCCCACGCTGGCCATGATAGAACGCTCGGGGTGAGGCATCATTGCCAAAACTCGGCCATCCTTGCTTGTCACACCAGCAATTCCCTGTGCGGAGCCGTTGGGGTTGAGTGGGTACTTCTCCGTAACCTTCCCGTAGTTGTCTGTGTACCTAATTGGAACCAACCCAGCCTTAGTCAATGCCTCCAAGTCAGTGTTGTTCTTGAATTGGGCACGGCCCTCTCCGTGCGAAATGACAATGGGCAGGGAGCTGCCGTCCATGCCGCGGAAGAAGACTGATGGGTTCTCGCTGTTATCCTTGATTCGGACCATGGAGACACGGCCCTCGAACTGCTGAGACTCGTTATCAACGAATATCGGCCAGTTTTCGGCGCCAGGGATCAGCTCGGCGAGCCTGCTGAACATTTGGCAACCGTTGCAGACTCCAAGAGCAAATGTATCCTTCCTCTCAAAGAACTTCTTGAATTCTGGTCTAGCATTCTCTTCGTGCATGAGAATGGACTTGGCCCAGCCTTGTCCAGCTCCAAGGACATCTCCGTAGGAGAAGCCACCGCATGCAGCAATACCGACGAAGTCTGCGAGAGATCTTCCGCCAATGATGTCGGTCATATGAATATCGATCGGATCGAAACCAGCAGCCTTGAAGGCGAACGCCATCTCGGCGTAACCGTTAACACCTTGCTCACGGAGGATGGCGACGCGGGGAGCCTTGATAAATGGGCTGCTGAGAAGAGTCGTCATCGGCAGGATGCTCTCTTTCGGATCGAAAGTAAGGTTGTATGAGAGTCCAGGATCCTTGTTGTCCTTGATGAGCGAGAACTCCGAATCAGCGCTGGCGGGGTTGTCACGAAGACGTTGCATTTGGTAGGAGGTGGAAGACCACCATTTTTGCATAGTCGACCTGTCCAGGTGGGTGACTGTCTCTGCCTTGTAACGAATGGAAAGCTCTTGCTTAGTGGCAGCTGGGATGCGACCAATCTTCTTGACCAGTCCTGGAGGTGGACCGCAAGTTGCGAAGCATCTGATGAAGTTAATCTCATCTGACTTCTTAACCTGGAAGATAGCTCCCAATTCTTCGTTGAAAAGGGCATTCAAAACATCACCCGTCTCGTCGCTCTTCGCGACACCATCGAGCATGATTTCCGCTCCACAGCGACCGGCAAACATCATCTCAACAATAGTCGTGAAAAGACCACCATCAGAGCGATCGTGATATGCCAAAACAATGCCGGACTCGTGGAGTTGTATGATCGCATCAAAGTAGTCGGTGATGAGGTCGACGTCATGAACGTCAGGGCTCTCATTTCCAAGCTGTCCGCAGGCCTGGGCGAATGCAGATCCACCCATAGCCTGTTTGCCTTGGGCAAGATCCACAAACATGAGCACTGTCTCGCCAACATCCTCTAGTCTTCGGAGCGCAGGAGTCCAGGTGTGGCTGACACGTTGTACTGGAGCAAAGGCTGAGATGACGACTGTAACGGGTGCCGTAACAGACTTCGACTCTCCGTTCGAGCTATCCTTCCACGAAGCCTTCATGGATGTGGAGTCCTTTCCGACAGGAATGCTTATGCCGAGTTTGGGGCACATCTCCATACCAATGGCTCTGACAGCCTCGTACAAAGCAGAGCCTTCGCCCTCGTGGTTCACGGCTGCCATCCAGTTGGCAGATAAGCGAACGCGGTCGAGGCCTCCCTGAATGTCTGCAGCGGCCAGGTTCAACAAACTCTCAGCAACAGCCATGCGGGATGAAGCGGCAGGGGAAATCAGTGCCAAAGCTGGCTTCTCGCCAACGGCCATTGCCTCGCCAGTTTGAATGCCTCCTGTTGCGAGCGAGGTAATGGTCACCGCAACATCTGCAACGGGTGTCTGCCATGGTCCGACCATCTGATCTCTAGTGGTCATTCCACCGACAGTACGGTCTCCAATGGTAATCAAGAATGCCTTGGAGCCAACGGCGGGGACCTTCAGGACAATTTCCATTGCTCTGTGGAGAAACTCGGCACTGCCGCGGCAAGACTTCGTGGTCTTGAGGCCGCAGAGGCTCTGGAAACTGTCGAATGGCTTCAGATCATTCTTCTTAGTCTTAACGTTTCGCTCCAGCTTCCTGTCTCTAGGGAAGAGTGTCGTCATCGGGAGATCAATCGGCTTTGGGTATTCATTGCCTTCGCGGTCGGTGACAACAAGTGTAGATTCGTTGCCACCAATTGTGCCGGTTACAGATCCAACGTCGGAGAAGCCACAGCGTTCGCGATCTAAATTATTAGCTTTGCATTAACCATAACCATCGAGAGTACTTACTGCAAATGTTGACAAACTTGTTCAGGCCATCCTCGTTTACGCAGAGAACGTAACGCTCTTGTGCTTCGCAGCACCAAATCTGCAATGGGCTCATACTGCTGTCCGCACTTTCGATTTGACGAAGTTCGAATCTGCCACCATAACCAGCATCCTTGACGAGCTCTGGCAACGCGTTCGACAATCCACCGGCTCCAACATCGTGGATCATGGCAATAGGATTGGCATCGTTAAGGGCGCAGCAAGCATTGATGACCATCTGCGCACGGCGCTCCATTTCGGGGTTGCCACGCTGGACGCTGTCGAAATCCAACTCGGCAGATCCTTCGCCAGATGCGTTACTAGAGGCAGCTCCGCCACCGAGACCAATAAGCATGGCTGGCCCACCGAGAACAATAACATGTGCCCCGGGCTTGACATCTCCCTGGCGCTTAATTGCAAATTGGGGTCGAACGGTGCCTACACCCCCTGCAATCATGATCGGCTTGTGATATCCTCTGTAATCCTCTGCTTCATTGCTGCCGGTATCGGTGAGGAGTGTTCTAAAGCACCCTGTGAGACAGGGGCGACCAAACTCGTTGTTGAACCTTGCGCTTCCAATGGGCGCCTCCAACATGATATCCAAGCTGCTGGCATAATGAGCTGGCTTGCCGAAGTCAATCTCCCACGGTTGCTCGAAATCTGGGATCAAGAGGTCAGAGACCCAGAAGCCGCAAAGGCCAGCCTTGGGCTGTGATCCTCTTCCAACAGCTCCTTCGTCTCTGATCTCTCCACCAGAACCTGTGGCAGCTCCTGCGAAAGGAGAAATTGCGGTAGGGTGGTTATGTGTCTCAACCTTGATGATGTAGTGGACCATCTCCTTCGTTGCTTTCCAAGAGCCAGTGTTGTAGTCTGGGGCCCAGAAGCTGGCGAAGTTGCCCTCCAAAACGGCGGCATTGTCGCTGTAGGCTGAAACGGTGTACTTGGGGTTGTTCTTGTGGGTATTCTTGATCATCTCGAAGAGAGACTTGCCCATGGCCACATCATCGATGATCCAGTTTGCATTGAATTGCTTATGCCTGCAATGCTCCGAGTTGACCTGTGCAAACATGAACAACTCGACGTCATAGGGCGACCTGCCGATTTTGGAATATGCTTGGATGAGGTATTCCATTTCAGGCTCATCGAGGGCGAGACCTCTCTCCTTGTTGTATTCTTCGAGGATATCAATTGGGTTGGCGCCCTCGGCAAAGATGTCCACAACCTCAAGAGGAATGCGCTGACCCTCTGCAAACATGTCCTTAACATCCGGCTCGGAGCTGCTGATGTTCTCTGTCATGCGGTCAAAGAGCACATGCTTGAAAAAATCATCAGATCCCTCAAAAGGCTCAGCAAATTTGACCAAAATGGCACGGCCTCGCTCGATGCGTTCAAGGCTCTTCACGCCGCAGACCGCCGCGATGCTGGTGGCCTTGGAGCTCCATGGCGAAATGTTACGGGGAGTAACATAGTAGACCTTGAATTTCGCAGCAGATGGACCGGAAACTTCACGAAAGAAGTCTGGCCGCGGGTTGGGCAGGAGCTGCCTCAGCTTCGCATCAGTTTCCTGATAATGTTAGTTAGAGTCAGGTTTTTCCCGACTAAGGTATAGAATATATTCCATTGCGATTTCGGAGTCAAAAACAGTAATTTTTCTAGCAAGAGCAAACTTGTGAAAAATTTGGGCATTCCAAAGTTTTATAAATATAATTTGTGCTCACCTTTGCGACGTCATTGGTTGCCTGCTTCAAGCGGGCATAGTGAATGTAAACGGCGGAAACCTCATCAACCTTGACGGAACTAGTCTTCGCAATCAGATCCTGGATCTTGCGGGCCGATGATGATGTATAAGCATCTTCTCCAAGTAGAGTGAGATACTCCATCTTGTAAACGTGACAATATGTCCGATTTTCTTGGAGGAGACCAGTCAATTCGCGATTGAGGGGGGAAAAGTCTATCTCGCCGCGGGGTCGCCTTGGAGAATAATCTGGTGGGATCGGCTTTAGGATTATCATAAATCCGAGCGGGCGGTCAGGAAAATGCCCCCCACGACAAACGCGACGCTTTTCCTGCTTATGTAAGTCGGATTGCAAGGCTGTGCATCCAAAATTCGACTTCAATGTTCATGAAGATGTTTCCACTGGATACTACGTTCGATTAATCAATGCGCTAACAGTGAATTATCCTGCAGTTTGCTCTTTCTTGAAATATTCCCATGGAATTGTAATTAGCATTTGCTTATTTCATATTTGTTGTTTGCCGCCCGGCATAGGCATAAACCACCCATCATGGGTGCTGTACTCTCTTTTGTCACCGGCTTCGTCGCGCCGGTATTTATCATCGTGTCGCCAATTACCTCATATGCCGACCAGATTGCTGCAATATACAGGTCGAAATCGAGTGCTGGGTTTTCCCTTGATATACCACTTATAATGCTTGTTGCGTCGATTCTTCGGTAGGTTCTACTTGGGATCAGACTCACCCCCTGCCCCTATTTGGATACGAACAAAGTGCACTTGCTAACTTTCCTCCAGCGTGTTTTACTATCCTGGAGCGCAATATGATATGTCACTCTTAATCCAAGCAACAATTATGATTATCGTCCAAGTTATTCTTCTACACGTCGCCCTCGAAAACAGGCCGTCGCCTTCGTCCAAAGGGGGGGAAGCATCACAACCATTTTCGGGCATAAAGGATGGAGAATTTGGCAATGTCAGGCCGTACAACTTCTGGCAATGGAGGTCCCCGAAACCGTACGTATACCAAATGGATTTAAAGTTAAAAAAGCTTGGGCTTCTTGGCTAACTACCACACAGATATTGGCAATTCCTCCTCTACCTCGTCATAACGCTCATGGCATGCGAGCTCATGTTCGCTCCATTCGGCTTCGCATACAGCTTCTATTCGTCGACTATTGGCTACCTTGGCCTGGCTATTGAAGCGACGCTACCGATTCCACAAATATTAGCAAACAACAGGACACGCTCCTGTAGGGGGTTCCGCTTCTCAGTTCTGGTGAGCTGGATTGCTGGAGACGCAATGAAGATGCTGTGGTTCTTCACCGCAACCACAGAGATTCCATGGGCGTTCAAGTTCTGCGGCATGTTCCAGGCATGCTGCGATTCGTTCCTCGGCGTACAATACTTCATGTATGGCACCGGGGAGGCGGCACCGAGCCACGCTCACAGTGGTATCTCGATACGTCAAAATGGCGGCGCGAGATCTCCCAGAGCAGTCCATATACCCATGTTAGAGAAAGATGATCGTTTAGACTGAAGAGAGATACGGCCCAACAGGGACTTGGTGTATTATAGAAGCACGGCAGGCGGGTGTATGCATGCCGTGCGATATTGCGGGTAGCTGACGACTGAGACAGCCTCCGGAAGGTGGTTAGTTCGTTGTATTATGACTGGCTGTTGTCAGTTCGGTATGTGAGTTTGTAGATGGATATAGTTGACAGGATGATGATTAGAATAACAATATAAGCGCGTGGACGCGAAGTAAAGACATTGCAGGGTCATTGCTGGTATTGAAGGCGACCAAGTCCTTGGACAAGGCCAGCGAGTCTGATCAACTGAGGGTGCGTGCGAATGCAAGTATCCGGCACACCGTGCATGTTGCCAACAGCAAGGCACCATGTTGGAAACCTAAGAAGGTCGTTGTACTTCCCAAAAAGTGCAACCTGTTCAGGTTCAGGACCAGCGTAAGCCGAGTGGATAAACCTAACACCCAAGGGATGAAATGTGCATATTACTGCAGCCGATTTTCAATCTAGGCGGGGGGGAGGAAGTGGAATCTCACACCGCTGTGCAGGGACAAAGGGGCGACGAGGTAGTGCGACGCGAAAGTGCGTGACTTTGCGAGAATTGGCGTTTATTAAAGATAGCCGGGGATACAGGACAAAACAACAAATATCAATAACTTATTGTCCATGAGGTTAAAAGAGGCAGAGTGAGCTGTAAATGATATGTGGATTATCGCAGATTGTTTAGTAGCTGTTTTGGTTTGTTTTATGGATTGGTTTCTGAGGTGCTGTATAATATGCCTCTGAGGTCTATCCGAGTCCATCTTTTTCTCACATTTAAGAGATTTCGAGAACGCGTCCGTCCCACGCACAAACTTGCTTCAATTCTACAATCCTGTCTCTTCTCTGTAACTGTGCTGCCTTGACTGCCGAGTTTATTGTTTCCAAGTCGACTATAAAAACTCGAGGCGGACTCGATCCTGAGCTTTCCTCCTCCACCTCCAAACTCTCACATCAAAACACTCCTCACCACAACAATTGCGCTACCATAAGCTTCGACCACCTTCAACTTCTTCGAATACCTTCAAGCTACCTTTTGCTTCCATCTTCAACGACCTTGAACTCTTCAACAATCTTCGACCCTCCTTCCTCGTTCTTCCACATCAACTATTCAACAACAACATCAACAACTGCTTACACCTTGCTCTAGACTTGACAACCCACAAGCTGTTGCACCCACCATACTCAGCGTCATTTTCGACTTCACATTAGAAGCCTGCAAGTATCTCGACAACCAAGGTAAGTCATTTTGACTTTTCACACACCTAGTCTCAATCTTGCTACTGTTTATGATGACACTTTTATCTGCCTGCTTTCAACTTGATATCACCATCTCACATTGATGGCAACTATTCACACACATATTCAAGAACACTTATCCTCCTTTTCCTTTTCAACAGCCTTGAGTTATTACCAGCTACATATTTCATACATCTCCTACCTCCTACTTCTTCAAGGTTCACTTGTTGGGATCTTAGGGTTCATCTGACTTGATCTCTTTCATCCACAACTCGAGTTATCCTGATCCTGGAATTCATAATTTTAACATATATCCTATAGCATTACGACCACGGCACGTTTTTCAAAATGCCTAATTGGAAGACTTACGAAAGCTCCGTCCGCCTCCTCTCCGCCATCCTCGCCGCGCACCCCGATCTCAAGCTCAACTACTCTGGTACGTTTCTACACATCAGTTCCTTTCTGCATTCCACATCCACATACCTCAATCCCACCTTGGCTCTGACCAATGCCTAGAAATTGCGAAGGCATTTGGAGGAGACTGTACCAAATGGGCGATCGACAACCGCTTCAGATCTTTGAAGACCGATGCGAAGAGAATAGGTGATGCCCTGGCGTCTGGCTTCGATCCAATCACCCTTGACATCCCTTCGGGTGCCAAGGGCAGGAATCCATGTACTACTTTGCTTTCATTTGTTTACATCCCATTCGTCTCCGTCGCTGCACATTACCACACACTCAATTTTTTTTAATGTTTACTGGCGTCTCTAATTTGCCACAGAGATCGCGGCGTACTATGGGGATTGCACTTCCTATGCCCTTGACCATAGGTTCAGGAAGATTAAACAATCAGCAAAACAAATGAGAGATGAGAGAGGCGTTGCTCGTACATACTCCCTCGTCATTGCAATTTCCATTTCTCACACGTTAATCACTGTACACACACATTTTTTAAGGGCCACTGCTAACACTCCCAAGCAATCGCAGATAAGTACGAAGAAGGCGTCACAGCCAAAGCCGTTTCCACCCGTTTTGAGCGCCTGAAGAAAGAGTCATCTTGGCTTGGGAATTCTACTAACGGTGATGTCCCCCGCAGTGCCGCCCCAAAGGCCCCGAGAACGCCCAAGAAGAAGGTTGTGAAGAAGAACGCGTCGGATGAGGACAATGAGGATGACGAGGAGTTGGAGAGTTCTCCCTCCAAGTTCACACCAAAGGAGTCACTCAACAAGACAAAGGGAGGTCGGGTCGCCAAGGCGCGCACTCCCCGCAAGGCCGCAGCGGCTATTCCGACATATGTCGAGTCAGGTGCCGAGGAGGATGAAGATGATGATGGAAATTCGGATGAATACACCGAAGAGAAGGTTTCCAGCATTGTGGTCAAATCCGAGTCGAATGACTATGGCGCCATGACACCAAACCACGGCCAGGAATCTCAAAACTTTGCGGCCGGCGATCATGCTGGAAACGGTTTCGCCCACCACAGCTTCGCCCACCACAGCTTCGCCCACCACAGCTTCTCCAACGGCGGCTTTGCGAACGGAAACTCCAACGGCAACTCCAATGGCCAACTCGGTGGCTATGACATGGAAGATGAAGATGAGTTCCACGAGGCCCGAAACAACCAGTTTGGGAACGGTTACGACGATGACGCTGTCTAAATTGCTCCTTCAAGCTCGAGGCTGTTTGCGACGCTGGACTTTCCAAACATTACATTTTCGAAGAAAGCCCGAGCGGAGTGTCCATAGCGTCTTTTCTTCGTCACTGAGCAGAGCGGCATCCTTGGAGATGCCGCCTCGATTCAGAAACACATACACCTGGATTTGATCATGGAGTTTATATACCTGAGCTGCGATCACGAAGTTTTACGATACTTGATTTTTGCATTCGACACTCGCCAAAAGGTCTTTAATTTTCAACGACTGGACCAAATCGACGAATTTCTTCATTTTGTTATTGATTCTGTTTCTGTGGCACTCCCATGCCATGAGTGCCTCTTTACTGGAACTACTGGAAGAGCTTGGGATCGGAAGGTCTGGTGGCATTTGTTACTGGGCTGAGATCTTTGCGATGTTTTGCGGAGTCGGAGACACATGGATTATGGAGTCTACCACATTCACTCGATACACCGAATTCAACGGGAGGAATCAGCGGAAAAAGTCAAGCATACAGATATCGTAGATACAAAAGCACTCAACAGTAGAGCATTCAGATATCGTGAATACAAGAGCACTTGACAGTCAACAGTGCCATCCCCCCCTCTCTTTGCGAATGTGATGTGATACTCTTTGTGCAACCCCAATGTGATAAGCTATATTATCCCCCCACGATGATGAAATTTAAACCCACAAATTAACCATACTTACAGCAGTATTTGTTATTTCTGGGATACGGATCCTCACCCCATAGGCTCCATGAAGGAGCTTGGAGCAGCCTGCATGTATGCCGATGAAGCTGCCCCAAGTAAGCCGCTTTGGCGCAAGAAGCACGAGACAAGGCCAAAATAACCAAATAACCACAAAACAGCTAGATACATTTTTTACCAGTATTTATAAGAACGGCCGAACCTACCGGAAAATGCGCTTTCATCACCTCCGCGACATCAAACAGAGATGGGGAGTGGGAGTTGTAGCTGGTTTTGACTTCAATTTGCTTTTTTTGGAGGGCAACTACCCCGCATATCTGCCCCACATCATTATTCGGCGACCACGCTTTCATCTCACCCCTCACCCCACGGTCTAGCCTGACGTCGTCCGCCTCCTATGCCACCTCACACATCGTCAAAAATTGTACATTATTTCAGCTTCTCGGATCGCTCCCTTCGCCCGGGACGTTTATAATAGTTCTCTACGGACGCAATTGATTCACTCGCCACTCAACCACCCTTATGTATCCGGCCTGCAAGCAAGAACGCGACATGGCAGACTCCCCGACCACGGACAAGATCACAGACAAAATCGCCGCACTCCCTCAAGATGCCTCATACTTCTCCCTCGAATTCTTTCCCCCCAAGACGGCGATGGGGTCGACAAACCTCCGGGCGCGTCTCGACCGCATGTCCCGCGCGCTGCGACCCCTCTTCGTTACTGTGACGTGGGGGGCTGGGGGTTCTACGGCATCGAGGTCTATGGAGCTCGCCGAGCTGTGCCAGCGCGACTTGGGACTCACAACATGCTTGCACTTGACGTGCACGAATATGTCTAAGGCGCTCGTGGATGACGCGCTGAAAGCGGCCAAGGAAGCAGGCATTCAGAATATTTTGGCCCTGCGAGGAGACGAGCCTAGGGGCGAGTATAAGGACGCGCTTGAGGAGGGGAAGGAGGGCGAGGAGGAGTTCGTCTGGGCTATTGATTTGGTGAAATATATTAGGAAGAAGTATGGCGACTACTTTTGCGTGGGAGTTGCGGCGTATCCAGAGGGACATGCGGATGGCAGCCACCCTACAGAACAGAGCTTAGAGCACGACTTGCCATACTTGGTCGATAAAGTACAAGCAGGCGCAGACTTTATCATGACACAGCTATTTTATGATGTTGATGCGTACGATAACTTTGAGAAGGTTCTGAGGGGCCACTCAAGTGGTGCCTTCAAGACCATCCCAATTATTCCTGGCTTGATGCCAATCCAGAGCTACCAAATCCTCCGCCGAACAACGAAGCTTAGCAACGCAAAGCTCCCGGAGAGCATCATAGATAGGTTGGATGCTGTGCGCACCGACGACGAGATGGTTAAGAAAGTAGGCGTGGATATCCTTGCCGAAATCGTCGAGTCCGTCAAGGCCACCAAACAACGCACGAAAGGTCCAAAGGGCTTTCACTTCTACACTCTGAACCTGGAGAAAGCTGTGGCTTTCATTCTCGAGCGCGCAAACCTTATCCCATCGTTCACGCCTGTCCTCACCTCAGATGCGTTTGCCGTTGATGACATCACCGACACCATCCCTCTACCGCAATTATTGATTAATGGAGAGAAGAAGAGCAGGAGACAATCAAGTGTTGGTTCCGGCCCGCATAATTTTGTCATCATTGACAGGGAAGAGGCATCTGGGTTCGAGACTACAGGAGCTGAGGCTGCAGTTCCGAAGAATGGCGTCAACACACGTGCCAACACCCTCGCAATTTCAGAAGGCGAAGGTGCGCTTGGTAGAGAAGCAACCTGGGACGAGTATGGCCCCTGCCCCCGTGTTTTTGTACTACTGTTGGGCTTTCTAGTGAGGGCTGTCATTCTTATTTCTTAAACTTTAAACCTACGAAGCCAATATTACTAACGCACACCAGCTTCCCCAACGGCCGCTGGGGTGACGCTCGCTCCCCCGCATACGGTGAAATCGACGGCTACGGGCCTACCCTTCACACCTCCCCCGCCGAAGCCCTCGCTCTATGGAACCACCCCACTTCGCGCCCCGACATAACCTCCATCTTCGTGCAGTACATTAACGGAACCCTCTCCGCACTCCCATGGAGCGACGAACCCATCACCGCCGAGACCAACCTCATCAAAGACGAGCTCGTCAAGCTCAACCAGAAGGGCTGGTGGACCATCGCCTCCCAACCCGCCGTCAACGGCGCGCACAGCCAGGACGAAGTCGTAGGCTGGGGACCTAAGGGTGGCTGGGTATTCCAGAAGGCGTTTGTGGAGCTGTTCGTGCCGACTCCGGACTGGGCGCGCTTGAAGCCTCTGCTCGAGGGCAACGGGGAAGTCAGCTTCCTCGCACAGAGCGCTTCGGGCGAGTTCCTGAAGTCGAAGTTGGACCTCGGCCCCGGCGAGGAGGGCACTGAAACTAATGCGGTGACGTGGGGTGTGTTCCCTGGCAAAGAGATTGTGAGCCCAACTATTGTGGAGGAGGTTAGCTTCCGCGCGTGGGCTGAGGAGGCGTGGCAGATGTGGGGCGAGTGGGCTGCGGTGTTTGGGAATAGTGGGGAGGAGAGCCGGAGGTTTTTGGGTGGGGTGGCTAAGGATGGGTGGTTGGTTAATGTTATTTGGCATGATTTCGTGGGGATGTGTAAAGCTAAAAAAGGGAGATCTGAGGAGGAGGGGTATAAGGGGCTTTGGGATGTGTTAATTGAAGCATAAATAGGAAGGGGGCTAGCTGAGAGCAGCTGAACGATTCAAGATGCTCCCGGTCATGCTGGAGCAATGGTTAGAAGGCATATCTGGAAGATTGCCGCGGAGTAGGATAAGATCTGGCCGTTGGGCCTTTAGCGTTGCATCAACCGGACGTTAGGAAGTTAATTTATGATATTTGAAATGAACACTAGTCAAGAGAAGCACTGATGCGTATGTTCGTGACTATTTATTTACATAACATCATATGAGAACAACCTCGTTGCCTTAAGTGCACATCCTATCCTCCAAATATACACCGCCATACTTCCTATATAATGGGGTTGGGGACAATCCTTGATCAACTGAGTCCACCTATATACCTCAACAAGCCCAGCCGGCCCCTAAATCTGTCACTCCCTCCTGATCCCTCTTTTCGTTTGCAGCCCATGCTTCAATCCCCTCTATATCCTTCACCTTCCTCAAGTGCCAAAATGACTCGACACCCCTTGCGAATCCAACGCTTACCTTCTGTACATCCTCCTCTTCTACGGCCGCAAAACAGATCCTACAGAATCTCCATCCCTCCGATGTTGTCGACCCCGGAATAGCATCGAATATCTCTCCCGGCATCACAAGAGCCAGATATGGCTTCCGCGTGAGCCAGACCCAAAGCGCCTTCGCAAGGCGGGGTCCGTCAACCTGTCCAACTAGCGGATGAGAATCGAAATTATATCGCAACCAGAGGAACATCCCGCCGCGCGGCCAGCAGAAATTGTACATCTCCGCCTTCTTAACAACGGCCCACTCGGCATCCTCGTCATTCGCCATTCGCTTCTGCTGTATTGTGAACTTTCCCTCCTCGAGGACCGCGCTCATTATCTGCATGCGGCGCTCATAGTTGCCTCTTAGCCCTTCAAGCCAGCGCACCCAGCCGTCGACTTTCCACCCAGTGGGGCTGCTATTGCGGTCATTGCCCTGAGGTCCCATGATGACCTGTGCAACCATTGCCTGGACGAAGCCGGATGGGGTTTGCGTTGTCCCTTCCGTAATGCGGAGGAGGCGCTCTATGAGCTTGGGCTGTGCGGTGACCCAGCCTAAGCGACATCCAGGCGCAATTGATTTCGAGAATGTGTCGAGGCGGACGACACGCCCATCTACGTCCATCGAAAGGTAGGAAGGGACGAGGGAGTCGAGGAACGGGAAGCCGGAGGACTTTTGTGACGATGGTAGGGTGGAAACCGGCGCTGGACGGGGGATGTGGCGCGCGGATGCTTCGGATGAAGCTGCTGATGGGTATTGGAGGTGCCAGTAAGGATCATCTTCGATGATCACAATGTCATATTTAGTACAGATCGAATAGATCTCTTTCCGCCGCTCAACGGAAAGTATTCCACTTGTGGGGTTCTGGCCAATACTGTTTGAACGTCAGGCGTTGAATCAGGAACCATTGACTAGAAAGACTTACGTTATGGTGTACATAAGGTGAGGCCTCTTTCCCTTGCTTGTGTCCCAATTCTCTAAAACATCGTCTAGTCCTCCAGGACCGCTCGGTAGCATCCCTTCAAGGTCGACCTTCACTGGCACAATCTGCAAGCCTCGCGGCCTCATAGATTGGATAGAGCTCATGAAGGAAAACTCTTCACAGAGGACCCCTTCACGGTCACTCACCCAATCGCGGCTCTTGTCCCATGGATTACTCAGACACTCAATTGCCTTGGAAAGGCCGTCTAGAGCTCCGTTGGTAAGTATCACCTCTGGCCCGTCCGTGTAGGGGACATTAGGGTGAAGATTCTCGCGGGCAAATTGGCGCACGAAGGAGAGAAGGGGTGGATACCCGCTGGCTTGGCCATATTGAAGGGCAGTAGTGATGTCGATTTTAGAGGAGGGGTCGGAGGAAGAGGACTCGCGGGGCACAACAATGCGGGAGAATGGCTCCGAGGCTATTCGCGATTGTGTTGATTTTGGTGAGAAGGTGGTGGAAGTGGTGGAAGTAGGCTCGAAGCGGTCAGGTAAAGCAACTCTGGCCTGTAGGGTATCATAAGGGAAGTAAGATGCGTTTGGTAGACCTAATTGGCGATTAATTATTAATACGAGAGGACAAGGGCCCGGAAAGCTTCGGTGGTTACGTACCACCTGCTAAGTTTCCAATGCCAGGGATAGCAAAATATTTGTAAAATGCCTTAATGTTGCTCTCCTGCCGGGCCTTGGTCACTCGAGAGTAGTGATGGCTCAGATCCAGAGGTGGCTTTTGTTCAATGGCTGGGTTGGCCGCTGCCTTGGGCTCTTGGGCAGAAAAGGGCTTGAACCGAGGCATAACCAATTTTTTTGTTATAAGATTGTGAGTTGGAGAGATGGCAAATTTACAGCCGTACTATTTACAACGAACTGTGAATTTCTCGTACGATAATGTATTGGAAAACCTTGGGCATCAAATGGCGGGAAAAAAGAGGAAACGGGTAGACTGGAGGGTAGTGGATAACTAAAAGCGGAAAAGCGGGAGGCATGGTTTATATGATGAAGGGACTCGATGACATATCAAAGAAAATAGATAACTACCCCGCATTTTCACTATATATTTGTGGAGACCACATACCAGGGGCAGAGTTCCAGAATTTGATGAATATTTTCTGTTCTAATTCATCAACTCATTATTCATAATCCAAGCCCGGTTGGCCTTCACTCCCATTGCCGGGTCGTACCTCTGATACCTATACACTAGGTTCCAGATGTGAAAGGTATCATCTATAATACATTAACTCCCTGGGGCCATGATCCAGGCAGGAAACCCCCAAAAACAACGCAACGCCAGCTCCAGCTATTCGCTAGGAAGTATATACTGTAGCTCAAGCAAACAATTCGTCATCGCCATATGTACACTCAACCATATACAGGGTGGTAGAAGACGAGGCACCACAGGGTCGTCAAAGGCTGTTTGATTACGAGGGAAATGCATTCAACCCATCCCCACGTATTTGAACCAATTGGGTCTGCAGTCTTCCTGATGGAGCCATGAGTCACCGTCTGTGAGGCGCCCAGTGACGCAGCCAGTGCACTTTGGAGAATTGGGGCAATTGAAGAAGGGGATGTGTTGGTAGCCGATATCACGGAACCAATGGACCTTGCTCGAATCCTCAAAGAGCCCAATAGCGACGCTGTGTACAGGCGCATCTCCCCATCTCTCATAGAAGAACCCTCCTGCCCGGTCAAGGTGGTTGAAGTAATCTTCGTATGCCTGGCTTCGCCAGAAGTCCATATCTGCGACTTCGAAGTTGCTCCAAAAATGGCAGGTCGAGTACCCATTCGCCTGCTTGTTATGCTCTGGCCTTCTCTGGCTATCCGTCAACCACTCCATGGCGTTATTATCATGTACATATTCTGGGTGCTCGGCGAGAAACTTTATTGTCTCTGGCCACAGGCTCGGAATCGATTGTGGAGCGTCGTATAGGTTGATGGTGAAGCCATAAGTCTTATTATTGTCTTGCATGTAGGCGAAGACGTCGTAGTCCACATCGCAGAAGAAATGGACATTAGGTTCAACACGCCAGTAGTACCGAGTATTCGCCAAAGCTGGGTGTTTGTAGAAGAGTCCGGAGTTCCAGCGACACATTTGGTGGTAAGAGACCTGCTCGCCGTATTGGATGTCTTGTTCAGCAAGAAGCCTCGTGGATTCGTGAAATAGGTCGCCATTGACCCAGGAAGGCACCTCCCAGTGTTCTTTCGGTATGAGTTCTGGATGACAAGGTTAGTTTGTAGTCGAGGAGGTGAGGGGGGAATATGTACCATAATGGCATTCAGCATTCGTTTCCGCAGAGGTAAGTTCCTTAAATTCATCGGTGAAGGGGACATCGTTGAAAAAGGTCCATGGGTAGTTGAACTTGTGGTTCCACGTCCTTTCCAGGTCTCGCATTGCTTGTACCATCCCCTTAACTTCTTCATTCCGAACCAGCGCAAGTAAGGTCGCATTGATCCGAGCTGTCCCAGCAGGGCCTGGCGCGTAGCCTTCCATCTCTCGCTTCAACACACCTGATGGTTCTCCAACAGCTATATAACATCAGTAATTGCCCTGCCCAGTGGTGTGGTCTAGAACCTTAATGTACATACGTTCATTCATAGGGTCCCCTCCATATGAGGTAACAACATCTCCTGGACCCTTCTGCGGCTGTACGCCGACCTCATAAATCTGATAAAACAAAAAAATACATATCATAAACGAAGCAAACGCCAAAGCCCGTATGGGTTTCGCTACGGCCATAATTCGGTCGTCTTTGGGTTCTGCATGAAGAAGTGTTGGCATATAATTTGGTGGAACTCCTGAAATTCGGCAACTGCCGGGGCCCTTGCAATCGCGTGCGACAACGTCACTGGTGCCGATAAGGCAGCTTTTCTTTATGTCTCAGCCTCGCGGGCAGTCGCGTATGAGCGCGTCTAGCTTAAAGTTAATTGGCACGACAACAATGCGGTCAGTTCAACATTATGTCGCATATCGCAAAGATTGGAGCTCTCACTGATGAGCTGGTTACTACATTGACGGGTTTGACTCCAAAAGTAAGCTAAGCTGAGGTTGTCCTGCGTTCCAACCATCTATCAGGCCAGCGTCTTCTGCCCCACACGCCGAACTGCCCAACAACAGAACAATAGCTGACTTCGGTGTTAGAATGACCCAGCTCGATTCAGTGCATGTCGGGAATCGGCTGTACGATCATTTCGATATGGAAACTACCCCAGGGTCAATCAGTTCGACGTCGAACAAAACCTCGTTGGCCTGGAGGAGAAATTCAGGGTCTATAATAAAGATGGCCTAGCTAATGCCTTCCGGCAGAGGCTGGACGAACTCGGTACCCAATCTACGAAATGGACACCAGAAATACTTCATCTTTTTTTGGGGTTATCAGACCGACCTGTACACAAATCTAGGCTGAAAGACCTCGAGTTCCTCAGCCCTCCAGAAGAGCACGTTGAGCCGACCTACAAATGGAAAGACTTGGTCAAAGACGACCCTTTACTACGGGACAAGATATGGAGGAATATCGATTATACGCAGGATAGTTCGGAAGATGACGACATATACTCGGATAGCGACTTTGAACCACCCTCGCCCACTGACACGGCCCAATCGAGTGTTGCTGGGGTAGGTACAGGTCATCCGTCTGATCTAGCCATTGCTATTGATTCGACCAGCCTTAATAGGCTACATAAAGAGCAATTCTGGAGAGCCACTAGGCGAAAACCTCTGAGCGTTGTGGATGCTTACTTTGAGAAACCACCAACTTTCCCCATCACAGATCTACAAGCAATTCGAGAGACACTATTCATGCTTAGGGGACTTCCGACGACTTTATACTCGGATTTAGACAAGGCATCGTCAACTCGTAATAACGGCGAGGCGATTATCCGGCCTGCTTCTGGATTTATCTTGCCCGGTGTCTCCCATCACGTTTTCTATAACATTCTAGACAAGTTTTCCAGCTACGGCACTTCTCTCAAACTTCTACGTACCTGGACTCCCGTCGACAAAAGACTCCCTTTACTGCAAAGACTTCATGAGCAGTTTCAAACTCGATTACGAGAGCTCGACGAGATATTTTCTAGTTTGGAAGAGCCATACTTGGTCCGTAAGAGCGATGTGATTGTCAGTCTCGCCGCGACAGAACATGCCGTGGGTTCGCGTATGCTGCCATTCGAAACTCTTGCAAAACTGGTCCAGGAGCATCATAACTCACCGCCGTTTCGATGGCTAGAAGCATTATACGATGAGACGTGCAAATTTCAATTAGCAGAGAATAGCGACATGTACGAATTCGTGGGCAGTATATTTTTCGAGTGCTTTGCAATATATCTGCGACCGATAAAGACGTGGATGGAAGACGGTGAGCTAAACGAAGCGAGTGGATTCTTCGTCAAGGAGGATGTGAAGAACAATGACAGAATGAGAATATGGGAGAAGTACATCATTCAAAATGATGAAACTGGAGCACCATACCAGACCCCGAAATTCCTCCGCACAAGTGCACACAAAATCCTTACTTCGGGTAAGAGCATTGTTGTCCTTAAAGAGTTGCAACAATACAGGTATATGCGCCTCTCGTGGGAGTCTATGGAGCCCGTGCTCAGCTTTCAAACTGTCTGTGGCGACCACGGCAATTCCCTCCTCCCATTTACGGAGCTCTTCGATTCTGCCTTTGAGGCCTGGATAAAGACCAAGCACCATTCTACCTCCTTCATCCTTAGGACAGAACTCGTCGAGTCTCACCATCTCGGCAGCGTCATAGATGGCCTGGAAACGGTCTATTTTATGACCAATGGGGCCATGTCCAACGCCTTTACGAGTTCCATATTTGATGACCTATCTCGGGGGACAGCAGAGTGGAATAATCCCTTTTCTCTCACTAGCCACTTGCGGTCCACGATGGGACATGGAGTTGGAAGGCAGCGTATCAGCATTAAAATTGCCCCTAGCACAGCTGACGTCTTTACCGCCCGGCGAACGGTAAAATCTCTGGCTACGATAGAGATCTGCTATGACATCCCTTGGAAAGTAGCACTCGTCATCCGCCCCGTCACTCTCAACGCCTACAAACGCATTGCAATATTCCTCCTCCAAATTCGCCGTGCTTCTTACATACTTTCGGGATCACTATCTCGCACCACATCAGCGCCACCACTATATTACGGCCTACGCACGAAGCTCTTGTGGTTCAGTAACACGCTCTATAGCTATCTCACTGATATAGTGCTGAGGGTCAGCATGGACGAGATGCGTAAAAATATGGCAACCGCGGACGAAGTGGATGATATGATTGAAATCCACGAAAACTTTCTAAAGAAGGTTACGACTCAGGCATTACTTGGTCAACGGCTCGAACTCATCCACAAAACCATCTTGCAGATCCTAGACTTGGCAATCGCGCTTGAAGATGCCCAGGCAATGCTCGCTCCCCCTGCAGCATCTCCTACCAAAGTTATGCCGGAGGAAGCAGAGACAGATTCAGACTCTGACAGTAGTTTTGATTCCGAAGACGAGGGGGACCTTAGCATATTCCCTGATCAGAAGGATACGCCGTATCCGGAACACCTAAGGTTTATTAAGACCGAGCTAGATAGGCTATCACGTTTTGTCCTTGTCGGCCTAAGGGGCGTAGCTAGGGTAGGACAAGAGAGCAACTGGGATATACTAGTGGAGAAAATGGAATGCGGGTTGAGCGACGGCGAAGGCCGACGTGCATAATGTATTTATTATGCGAAACGAAATGAGCGGAACTTGTGGTTGGGCATTGAATTGGAGTCAGGGGGCTTAGATACCCAAATATGAAAGCGGCCTTTTGGCAATTATGACTAGAAATCATGAAGTATAAGACCTTTCATGCAGGATTTAGCCACTGAGCTTGCGATGTAGGGGTCATAAACTAGGTCTTCCATTTCCCAAGTTTTTCCGAAGTTCCAATTAACAACCACCCCTTTTTCTAAAAACCCAAACAACCATATCAACGCAACAGCGCCATCTATCCCAAGTTTAACACCGGCCCACCATCCTCCTTACAGCACAACCCCTTCGCGCCTCACCTCCGCGGATTGTGAGCAGGAGTAGGTATTTTGAGATACACATTGTTCACATTCAGCATCCGATCCAATTCCCTCGGCAAGACATTATGATGGTGATAATCATGCCTCAACATAGCCCGTGGCGGTTCAACCTCCGTATTATCCGCATCCTGTGACCGATTATCATCACTCTCGCAATATGCCTGATGAGCACCCGGTGGGTCGCCCCTATAATCCCTATCCCTTTGACGGCGGTAGAGGTCTTCTGCTTCAGCATTTGTCATTCCCGAGTCGGAGGGGTCTAGATAACTTCGCCGCCATCGTGGTGCAAGCATACCTTCGCTTTCTACCATGTCCTCACGCCGCCTATCATATTGAGTATGCGGAGTATAACGACTAGCAGGCGTATCCCTTCCCCGCGATGCGTGCGCCGGTGCTCTTGCTCGTACATTATCCATACGATAGGGCTCATCCCTCCATTCTTTGATAACCTGCTTGATCTTATCAAATAAATCGCCAAATCCCGCACTCTCCCGCGCCCGCCTAGCCACCGCCGGCATCTGCTTGGGCCGGTCGTAGAAATCACTGGGGCCTATGCCATCCCACCCTATCGTTGTCGTTTCGGGCGCTGCGGGAGACTCGAGGCGGAGATTGTGTTTTCCGGCACACTTAGGCCGGCAGCAATAGATCGCTGATAGGACTATTAAGATCACGGCGAAGATGGCGGCGGTGATACTCATGCCGACGACAAATTGGCGTGGTACAGCGCGGCCGTTTAGGGAGTATGCGTAAAGGACGCACAAGGTGATAATGCCGAGGATGATCAATATTGCAGGGAGGATCCGTTTGGTTAGGTTGTAGAGAAGTCCATAATCTGGTGCACGAAATGAGAGGCGCTTATACGCCGAGTCGGGCATCTTGTAGGCGGACATTTGTGAAGACCGAGAGTTGTGGTTGGGAGCATCGTGGAAAGCCTTTTTGGGTTCAAGAGGAAATTATATGCTTCTAGGTAATGAACTAGAATGGGATAGATGTCGACTCTTGCGCGAGATAGATAAACGATGGAGAACAGGATAGAAAACAGGACAGAAGATAGGCAGAAGCCTCTACCCTATTTTCTAGGTCGAATAGTCCAAATAGGCCTGAACCATAGAGTTCCCTGCATATTTTGACTGAGACCCCAATTGAGACAGCCCTCGAATCAAGCCATGACGTTGGACACTCACTACAGATTATGCAACGTACGCGCCACGATAGTCTCCGAAGCTCTAGCATCGACTATCCAGGCACCATAGTGCATCGCCTGCCGCAAAATTCTCATTATCATGTTGTCTCAACGCTAAACTTGGCGTTGTCGTTCCTGCCTTAAAAGGAATATGCGACCAGGGTTTGCTTTCCCGCCAAATTCACGGGCCCAGCCGCATTTGTGGATCGTCTTGGCGCTAACATACGTCAACATCAGCTTCTCACCTCAGGAATTGCAACCCCAACATATCCTACCATATACCCCGATCTGAATCTCCAAGAAGCTCCAAGAAGCTCCAACAAGCTCCAACAAGCTCGGGAAACTTCCAATTCCGCATTATCAAAGCCATTCTTAGCTTCAACCACAATCCCAGAACCCACATCCTTAATCCCACGACTACAAGATCCACAACTGCCTAAACCACCCCCCTTGCATGCCTAAGGGCAAAAACTCCGCTCTCAGCCCCTCCAAACACCAGGGCTACCTCCTCTCTCTCCATAATACCAGAATGTCTCAATTCCTCCCCCACGCTACGTATGCTGAATACCAGCGCCACCCCTACGCCATCCTGACCGGGCACGTCCTATACCGAGGTTTTGCGGCCGGTGCCCTCGTCGGCGCCATTGCACCTTTTCCAATCATGATGTTTCGCCCTCTTAAATACCCCCTACCTCTCGTGGTCCTGAGGTCCGCGGGTATGGGAACGGTAGTGGGAACAGGAGTACTGGCGCTGGCGCTGGCGGGACGCATGTATGGAAGAGAGGAGATCGAGTGGAAAGATCGGAGTTGGCGGTTGTTGGCGAATAAAGGGCAGGTGGAGGTTGATACTTGGAGTGGAGTTGGGACGGTGATGGGGGCGTTGGTGGCGAGGGGGAAGGGGTGGAGGGGCGGTTGGGGGGGCGGGGTTGGGGAATTTGGTGGGGGTGGGGGGTATTTGGGGTGGAGGTATGGGTTTTATAGGGGGAAGTTTGGGAAGGGGAAGTGGGAGGAGGATGCGGTGTGAGGGTGTGAGGGTGTGGCGGAATTGGAATGTGAATATAGTGAGGATGGAGGCATGTTATTGATATGGTTGTAGGTGAGGAGAATGAGGCGTTGATGGGAAGGCGTTATTTGGAGGTGGGTGGGATATCGCCGCTCAATTGGTTTGCATAATGGATGGCAACCATTTTATTTTCGTCTTGCGTCTAATTGTTGTGTGTTTCCGGCCGTACCTACTTGACGCAATTGTTTGTTTACTTGACTTGCCGCACCTACCCAATCCGTACTTCACCATCGAGGTCACTGCCCCGACCAATTCACCCAACATACATACTTTGGGTTTTTCTTTCTTTCTCGAAACATCAAACGCGATTGTGCAGGGTGGTGCCTTGGGAGACAAAGCTAACCTGACGCATTGCGGATAATCGACTTCACTTCAAGCCACTACCACCTCACACCACTTTGTCTGCTTCCCCTTTCATTGAACGACATTTCAGCCACAATACATCTTGAGCGAGATGGTTCGCCGTCGCAGCGGATCATCGTACCGACCAGACAAGAGAAAAACCCGGGATTGGGACGACCCTGAGGATGCCGCCGAGCGATCGCGGCGGGTATTTTACGGTGAGATTACAACGGACGCCACATCCTGCAAGGCAACGACTAACCCACCCACTTATAGAGCGATTCGACGAGGAGAACATTAGCCGTCTGTGGAGAAGATATGATGCCGACTGGCATCACAAACCAGGCGAGAGGTTTCTGACTCGGAAGGAGTTCACTGACCTGGTCGAGGAACTCCACACAACAAAGATCACCACCATTCACGACGAGGGTATGAGGAGGCTGAAGGAAGGTGAGTTTTGCTCAATATCCCTCAAACCATCATCATTTTTCACAAGCTCACGCTCATACAGCAGGTCGAATGAACAAGGGCCGATTAAACGAGAGCCGATGGAACGAGAGCCAATTGAACAAGAGCCGAATGAACGAGGGTCGACTGGCAAATACAACTACTTCACCAAGAGCCTCCTACGTTTCAACTACAACTCGAGCTGTTAGCATCACCTCACTTCCCACCCAATGGTCAAGTCGCACAGCGACGCCCCAGCCTCGAGGAAGGCATTCATCAACCCCATCCACAGCAGCTCCTGAGCAAGACCAATCTCCCACGCCTCCTTTCGAAAACTGCGTCAAGAGGGCCCGTTCATTTTCACTCGACGTCCCCAAAGTCACCATATCCACCACCATCAAAACTCAACTCTCGCCAACGAAAGCAGAACACAAGCCCAAACTATCCGACATACCCGCCCTGACCCCAGCACCCCCCTCAGCATCACCGTCTCCGCTACATCTCGCCCCGTCCACCGCCTCACCAACGTCCTCTCTAATCGTCAAGCTAAGTCCGTGCCCCTCTCCCAGCCCGCGAAAGTCCCGATTCAGCCCACTCGAGAGCCCAGCACAATCGCATTCCCAAACGCCGAGTGAAACGCCTCCGCCACCTCCTCCTCCACAGCAAAAACAGCAGCAACAACAACAACGACAACAGCCATACATCCCACCCACGCCCGCGGAACTCGACACGGCAATATCCCTCATCCGCACCTCCTACGCCACCGAAGAGGCGCAAGCGCTAGCCCGACACACGCAACAAGTGAAAGCAGCGAAAGCGCTCGTGTGGATCGAGGCCATCAAGCTCGCCGGTGAAATCCCCTGTCTCGCCGCCCTTGTCTCCGGCGCGTCTGGCGAGGGCGGCGAGGGCGCTGCGACAACAGGAGGGAGAGGAGAGAAAAAAAGCGGCCCAGAGGGAATGACGGAATCAGCACTGATAAGTGCATTTGCAGGCCTGATCCGCTGGGAAGAGGGCGCCGAGAAGGCGAGGGAGTGTCTTGTGGAGGCGGTGGGCGGGTTGGAGGGGTTGGGGATGGGAGGGGAGGTGAAGGGGGTGGGGGAGAGGGTTAGGGGGTTGATGGGGTTGATGGGGAGGGTGGGAAGGGTGAGAAGGGGGGTGAGGGATTGTTTGGTTTTGGTGGGGAGGAGGGGGGGGGTGGTGGTTGGGGAGGGGCTGTTTTGAGGGGTAAGGGGTTGGTAGCTGGGTGAGAGGGGGGTTGAGGGTACGATTGGGGGGGGGGGGGTTTCTCTCGAGGTTTGACGTTTTGTTTTGCTGGGTGTATGCGTATAAGGCTCATGTATAAGATAGTGGTACAAAACTTGCTGTGTGCGTCCAGGACTCGGATGGAGATGGATGTCGTCTCTTTTCGCTGGTTTGCTGGGCGGAAAGGGGGGGTGGGAAGGTATAGATAAAACTGAGTAATAGATGGGATGGAATTCACGTGCACACACCTCTAATAGGGATAGTCAGATACTCATCTCCTACCCCTTCTACGGAGTACCCCTCACAACATCCTTAGCACACCACAACGGCCGGACCAGCCCCTCGCTCGCCTCACATCCGCCCCTAACTAATAGTGTGCGTCATGGGGGACCGTCGGTTCGGAACCGTCGGTTCGAAATATTTCCAGACCGGACCGTGGTCCGGTCTGGAAATACAGACCAAACCGCCCAGACCGGTGTGGTCCCCCAACGGTTCCTTGGCAGACCGACCACGATCACGTGTATGAGGCATGTGATAGGTAGCTTGAAAATATCTACAATTTCACCATATACTACAGAAGCAACGATTACCATGAATATTACTATACAGTAGCTTCAGTAGAACAGTTTCATTGAGTTTCTACCATCTATCTACTTTGCTCATTCCTTCATGCCTGGAAATGCGAACCCAGTCATGTGAAGACACATAGCCTGGACTAATTTCATATCCTTCTGCTGGATCATAACCTTGTCATACTGACATTCGTTGCACTCAGTTTGCTATCAAACTCAAGAGCAAACTTAGAAATCTCCTCCTCAAACCTACAAGTCACCATACATATCTGGGCTTATCACACCAACAACAGAAGCAATACTACTCAACGATTGCTGAAAACTCTTCTACTACATCTGTTTATGCTACATACATCACGGCATATCATTTGGACACTCATTGAACAAGTTATTAAGAAAATCTCCTCCTTAAGGGGGTGGGCCAATACTACCACATGGCATATCTCTACCAACTAGAGGCCTAGGAACATGAACGATAGCTCTAGAAGCTTCTACAACCCTCTATGATTCATTACACGTCATCGCTCCTTAGTTACCCACAAGATTGGTTAAGTTATGACATAATTTGTCTATAGGTACTCTGACCTTGGACCTCCTTTTCACTTCCTATAGGCTAGGAACCCAAGAGATGGTTCTATGGGATTCTCTTACGTTCACTACATGATTAGCAAGCTAGTTGTGGGTCGCACTTGATTTCTAATACATTTACCAAGCCTGGTTAGTCATGGAAAGTCATGGAAAATAAGAGAACTACACTCCTTTGGCATAAATAGGATTGCCCTTTCCTTAAGAAAGGGCAAGCAGGCAATACAGTAAATCGACTAGCACATACTTCTACGTCTTTTCCAAGCTTCCAAGCATTGATCTTGTTATTCTCTGTTTTTTGAAAAGTCAGTGAGGTGCTAACCTCTGACTTACCCCTGAGTTCCCAGACTCAACATTTGTTGCAACTTGTCTAAACCACTTCACCACATCATACACCTGATTGCTGCGTTGTGGAATAGTCTAAGCTACAACCCTTTGGCTCTGTTTCCTAAGACAGTGTGTTGTCTTAGTAAATTCATCCCTTCCTTGGGTGGCTAGATTCTCATATCTGGTGCACCCACCATTACACCTTGCCTGCTTCAAGCTTCAACTATTTCTATAGCAGCACTTCGATACTACAATGGAGGACGACCAAGCTCCTACAACTACTGCTGAACAGCAGATGCAACAACTGTTTGCCTTTATACAAACTATAGCAAACAAACTTGAGAATTTGGAAAACACCTTTCAAGCCAACACTTCAGCAACACAATCTTCAACTCAGACACATCATACAGAGCTTCCCACAGCTCCTCTGGCTATTTCGAGTACCCCAGGTGCACTTCCTAAAGTGCAAACACCAGATTTATACCATGGAGACAGGAGGAAGTTGAAGGGATTCCTTATGCAACTGGACATCTACTTCACCCTCAGGCCTCATCAGTTCACCTCAGACATTCAGAAGATCTATTTCGCTGCCAGCTACCTCCGTGGATCTGCATTCAACTTCTTTGAGCCATATCTTAGAAGACTTAGTGGCAACAACCAAAATACCACTACACCTTTGATTACCTCTTATGACCAGTTTCAAGAGGAACTTACCAGGACCTTTGGAGACATCAACGAAACTGCTACAGCAGAAAGAGAGCTACAGAAGCTATGTCAAAAGACCTCTGCTGCTCAGTATACAACAGAATTTAGGAGAATCACTTCTCACTTGACTTGGAATGAAGAAGCCTTAGTCTTCACTTACTACCAAGGGCTCAAGAGCTCTATTAAGGATGAACTCAGCAAAGAAGAACGCCCTACAACACTTCAAACGCTTATAGAGAAAGCTGTCAGACTTGATGATAGGCTTTTTGAAAGAAGAAAGGAGAAGAACCAAGACTGGCATCCAACAAGAAATTTCAACAATTACACCTCTACACCAACTGCTAAGGACTCAGCACCTGAACCTATGGACTTAGACGCCTCTATAAAGAGATCTACAGCAAATCCAGCACCTCAGCCTACAGGATACCCTCAAAAACTGAAAAGGGGTAAACTTACCCCTCAAGAAAGAAAACACAGAATGGACAACAACCTTTGTTTATACTGTGGCAAAGGGGGACACAGAATTCAGGAGTGCTATTCAGCACGGGGGAGTGCTGATTCAAAACATATAGCAGCCTCAGACACAGTCACAACTGCTATTCCTGAAAAACTTGAAAAATCCCTAGCAGGCACAACTTCAACTGAGACTATAACTTCTCCCCTAGACAACAAAGATGTGTCGATGGTGCTTTCTCAGAGTCTCACACACCTGTTAATCCCTATTCAACTCCATTTCAAACAACAGGTGTTGTCTACAAGGGCTATGATAGACTCAGGGGCAACAGGCAACTTTATATCTCAAGACCTCATCTTGACACACCAGTTACCTACAATTCCCAAACGCACTCCAGAGTTGCTCCGAGTCATTGATGGAACTCCTATCAGTTCAGGTTCCATTACCTGCAACACCCCAGTACTCAAACTTGAGATTCCCCTAGGAAAATCAACATTTTCAGACACCATCTCTTTAGATGTTATACCAATGAAGTACCCAGTCATCCTAGGTCTTCCATGGCTTCAAAGGCATGATCCAACTATCAATTGGAAGCATTTATCGCTTGGGTTTAGCTCAAATCCTGAGCTCAATACTGAAAAAACCCTTCAAGCCTCAGTTACCCCTATTCAGGTCCAAGACTCAAACTTGTCCCAGATCAAGGATTTTGACCAAACTATGGACGATATATCATCTCTGATATGGGTTAAACCTTTCCAACCTGTCCTGGAGATAGCAGCTACTTCAGATTTGGAGAAATCATCTCAGGAGGTCATTTTGCCTTTAGCATACCAAGACTACCAACATCTTTTTGACAAGGCAAAGGCATCAATTCTGCCAAAGCACCAGCCTTATGACCATGAGATACCACTCGCAGAAGGCTCAATGCCTCCGTACGGCCCTATCTACTCTCTATCTGAATTAGAGCTGAAAACTCTCAGAGAATACCTAGATGAGAACCTTAGTTCTGGCTTTATCAGACCTTCTTCCTCACCAGCAGGAGCTCCCATTCTCTTTGTCAAGAAGAAAGATGGCTCCTTGCGTCTCTGTGTTGATTATAGGGGCCTTAATGCAGTCACTGTTAAAAACAGATATGCTTTACCCCTTATCCCTGAGCTCATAGATAGGCTCTCTTCAGCAAGGATCTTTACCAAGTTAGATCTCAGGGGAGCTTATAACCTGATACGCATCAAGGAAGGTGATGAGTGGAAGACAGCATTCAGAACACGCTATGGTCATTTTGAATACCAGGTAATGCCTTTTGGGCTTGCCAATGCACCTGCTTCTTTCCAAGCTCTCATGAATGATATTCTAAGACCTTACTTGGATATCTTTGTTGTTGTCTACTTAGACGACATTCTTATATACTCTTTAGACACTCAAGAGCATGTTCTACATGTTAGACAAGTCTTAGAGAAGCTATCTCAAGCACAACTCTTTTGCAAACTTGAGAAATGTCTTTTCCATATGTCTCAAGTTGATTTCTTAGGACATAGAATTTCAACAGAAGGCATTCAGATGGACCCTGAAAAGACAAAAGCAGTACAAACGTGGCCTATTCCTTCCAGCATTAAAGAGGTTCAGTCTTTCCTTGGGTTTGCCAACTATTACAGGAGGTTTATACCAAGATATACATCCTTGGCTTTACCCCTTACTCAATTACTTCACAAGGACACTTTGTATCACTGGGATAAGACACAGCAAGATGCTTTCGATGCTCTTAAAGGAGAATTTAAAGAAGGGAAAATGTTACTACACTTTAACCCCTTGAAACCTGCCACTCTTGAGACAGATGCCTCAGATTTTGCCATTTCTGGAATCTTATACCAAGCTCCAAAAGACAAACAAGAAGAGCTACAGCCTGTGGCATTTTACTCAAGAAAGCTATCAGCAGCTGAACAAAACTATCCCATTACAGACAAGGAACTGCTTGCCATAGTATGTTCTCTAAAGCATTGGAGATGCTACCTTGAAGGGGCAAACTATCCTATCACTATTTACAGTGACCATTCAAATCTCTTGACCTTTACAACCACTAAACAGCTCAATCGACGACAAGCAAGGTGGTCTGAACAACTAGGAGGTTTTGACTTTGTTATAAAACATGTCTCAGGGGCCAAGAATCAAAGAGCAGATCTCCTCTCAAGAAGACATGACTACCAAGATTCTGCTAAAACTAGCAATACAAAGGCTCTGCTAGACTCAGCAAAGCTTATAGCAGCATCTTTAAGCAACCCTAGTACTACAGAGGACTTAGGGGTAAACTTATCCCTCAAGACCAAGTTGCCCCCATTACC